CTTTGCAGGTATTTCTTCAAACTGTTTTCAAAACTGCATCTACTTTTCTACCAGCACCAGACATTTTTATTTCTAGTTATATTATTTTTATTTACAACTAAAAAATAACAACAATTATAAATGAGTACTGTTTTTTAAAAAAAATTGAAAATACTCTTATAATAAATATATTTATATTTATTATATAAATAGTAACAAAAGCAGAAACTAATGTAATTAGTCAATAAGTTAAAACATGAAGAAGAAAAAATATTCTTATATGGAAAAAAGCTTACAATAAGTTAAAAAACTTAATGATTTATATGACTACTATATATTTTATAATGCATTATCTAACTATTATAACTAATACTAGTTTATTCAATAGTTATATTTAGCTAGTGTAATTTAATTAAGTTGATTAATTAATAAATAATCATTAAAAATAATCAAAATCAAAAAAGTCAATTTAAATAATGATTTTTATTTGTCTGATTTAAATCGATTTAAATCAAATGACTTAAACCAATCATTTAACCAAACCAATCAACCAAATAACCCTATTTATTAAAAAAGTTTTAATATGCTATTTATACTATTTTTAAATAATTGTTTTATTAAACAAATAATAATAAACATTTAAAAAATATTATTTGGAATTGACTTTCATAAGGTTATTACTACAGTTTCCCTTTGACTGTGCTTATGTTAAATAACAAAATATTCACATAGAAAAAGTTACTTAAAACACAGATTTCTCTAATAGTAATATAGGTGCAGCCATCTTGCAGTATATATGTATGATCACATGTTCATGTTGTTTGAAATCTCCATATTATTTATATAAATAATAAACTATTTCACTATTTTAAATAATATACTATTTTCCCTGTTTTTGATAAGATTGAAGCAATAATTAAGTTATGATTGAAGCAATAACGTTTGATATCAAACAATTTTGTTAATTTCTATAAATTTCGACTTTGCCACATACAGCCTATTGCATCCATTTGAATATAAAGCTTTTCGTTTGATGCAGTTTTTTATCAAGAAATTTACTAAATATCAGTGTTATTTCATTTCTTTAATATTTAAATATGTACAATAAAATAATAAAGAATATAATTAGAGTTTAACTTTTTGTAGACTTGTAGACTTCAAGTATGAAGTATATATATAACAGAATACAAATTATTTTGGAAATATTAATTAGCAAATTTAATTTAAAAAAAAGCATTCCTTCAATAATTGTTTATATATTACTTACTATTTATAAAAAATTTTCAATTTGCTATTTATACTATTTTAAATAATTGTTTTATTAAACAAATAATGATAATCATTAACATGTATAACATATATACATGTATATATTATATATAACTTTAAAGTACGTACACAATAAATATATATACATATGTATGTAATATATTATACTTTATTAACATTACACTTTAATATATATATATATATATATATATATATATATATATATATATATATATATATATATATATATATATATATATATATATATATATATATGTATATATATATATATATATATATATATATATATATATATATATATATATATATATATATATATATCGTGTCCGAGCACTTATATAATTAAAAATAAATAGAAACTTTAATCTAACTAATTACTTTTTGTAGTTAGTTAGATTAAAGTTCTGGGAGTCCTTTAAGTTCTAAGTATACGCAAACATTTTCTACACTCCAAATAATCTGCCAATTTTTTAAATCTAAATAAATGATAAATTTATTTATCTAAACAAAACCATTTGCAATATACAATGATATATCTATTTATAATATGCATAATAAAAGCATATAGGAATAAAAAAACTGCTCGAAAAAAAAAAAAAAAAAAAAACACGTTGCTTTTATAATTGCTGTTGATGTTAACAACGGTAACAAAAACAACTCAAATGTTTAAGGCACAAATTAAATACTGTCATGATAATCATTTCTTATTGTTATTATACCACTCTTTATAAATTCATACTAGTCTACGACCGATTAGAAAAATAAAATGACTTTTACAATGGATTTAAAGAACCCTAAATTAAGGTTCTTCAAAATTTTCCGTAAAACGATTTGAAGAACCTTGAGGATTCTTTGTATTGCTTTGTAAATTAGCTGCCGGTTCTTCAGAGAACCATTAGAGAATATTAAGAACCCGTAGGTTCTTTAAAGAACCTTTAATTTTCTCCAAGAACCTTTAGGTTTTTAAAAGAACCAGCAAAGAACTGGCAAAGAACCTTTTGGATTTACAGTGTAGGAAAGTAAACTGGAAAGCATAAAAGTGCTTCGATATCAAATTAAGAAAGTTCATACTGCATTAGTTTAACTAGTTGAGTTTACGAAGGATCCAAAAAAAGCCAATAGCGAGACACCAGTTATGAACGAAAAAAGTTATGACAAAAAGCCTAAAGACTCAAAAAATGCACCTAGGAGTTGCATTGCAGTTTCTTCAAAGGGTAGTTCAGTTCCTTTCAGAAACTTAGATTTAGGTTTTGTGGCGGTAACATTGTTAGCAACAAAACTTTGTGAAACTCTTGGTGTAGATTCAAATTTCAAAGAAGCCAGGCAGAAAAAGAAAAGAAAGATGTTTGAGTACGAAGGAGATGAAATGGAAAGAACCTCTAATCAAATGTTTAAAGTGGAGTATTTTTTTGTTATTGCAGAAGTTTTGAACAAATAACTAATTACGATACTATGTTTGCATTTTTTTATCTTCTAAAAAACTAAAAGTAGTAAAAGATGAAAAATTGTTTCAAAGGTCTAAAGACCTAAAATTGTTCCTAAGATTTGAAGAAGAAAAGAATGTTTTTGGAAATGACCTTTTTTCTGAACTTAAAGTTCTTTGAGAACTTCTACCGGGTGAGGTGGAAACAACTGCAAGAATTTTGAGATTTATTCACCAGATTCAAAACCCATTTCCGAATGTATTTATAACGTATAGAATTTTCCTGTAACTATACCTGTAACTGTGGCAAGCGCAGAAGGAGTTTTTCACGCTTGAAACTTATTAAGACATAATTAAGTTCGTCTATGGGTCAAGAAAGGCTATCA